CACCTACCAGGTAAGTGCTGCCGCCATTGCCGCCATCGCCGCCGTTGGGGCCGCCCCGCGGCCGGTATTTCTCGCGCAGGAAGCTTACGCACCGTTTGCCGCCGTCCCCGGCTCTTATGTTAATTCTTACAGTGTCTATCATAGAGTAATTGTAAAAGGAGTAACAAAAATAATAAAGGTGTTGAGAAGTTGATAAGTCCTATGTGGCTTATGTAATTTATTGTTTGACATATTATGGCCCAGTACGCATAAGATGGGGCGGCTGGTTGATAAGTTGTTGAAGATCGTGGATAACATTTCTTTTATCTCAGCTTGGCCTGGGGAGGAGGTAAATGGGGAAAATGCAGTTAACGCTACTGGTGAGATTATCCACGCATTAGAACAGGTTATCCACAGAATACCGGAGTTATCCACAATCGGGGCCGATAGCTATGTAAACATTGCTTCCTTGATGGTCAGGACGCTCTGGCGGAGGTGGTAGTCTTCGTTGATGTCGGCGTTGATTTTGCCGGCGCCGTGAATGACGTGGAATGGTCCCGGTTGCCCAGCAGGCGACCCACCTGGGTGGGTGAAAGTTCCAGTTCGTAGATCAGCAGGTACATGGCCACCTGCCGGGCCAGGGCGATGGTCTTGCTGCGGCTGCGGCCGAGCAGGTCGCTGGCGGCGACCTTATACTGACGCCCTACCTCTTCCAGGATTCGCTCCGGGTCTATGGCGTGGCGGGCCGTGTCCTGGGTGAGGTCGTCCAGGAGGCGCGATGTGGAATCCAGCGTGATCGGGGTGTTCATGAGCTGGGAATAGGCACGCACCCGGTTGAGACTTCCCTCCAGTTCGCGGACGTTCTTCTGGACCCTCTTGGCGATCAGCTCCAGGACGCTTTCTTCGATGATGGTCTTGAGCTGGTCTGCCTTGGAGCCGAGGATGGCCATGCGGGTCTCCAGGTCCGGCGGCTGGATGTCGGCGATGAGGCCGCCATTCGATCTGGAGGGCGTCAGCCGGTCCTCTCAGCACGCCGCCAGCGACTTGAAGAGTGGCGGGCTCGGTCGCGAGGTTAGACAAATCTGTACCCGCGCGCTGGTGCAGGTCGTGAGGTGTGGAAAAACCCCTCCTGGGTCTGTTCCTTGCCGCTCATGAACTGCACGTCGTCAATGAGCAGCACCTGGACGCGAGGCTCCGGTACCGCGCGCGCCGGAACGCTCGGTGTCCGGTGCGTATGCGGAGATGAGCAGTCCGTTTTTTGAGTGAATGCTCCGAAGACACGTAGAGGACACTGCTGCCGTTGCGGGCGGCCTTCTGGCCGATGGCATGGAGGAGGTGGGTCTTGCCGAGCCCCACGCCCGAATAGAGGAACAGGGGATTGTAGGCCTGGCCGGGCGCGTCGGCGACGGCCTGGGCGGCGCTGAAGGCCATCCGGTTGGAAACCCCGACGACCAGTTGTTGAGAGTACTGCGTCGAAGTGTGAGGCGCCGGTGGACAACGGGGCGTGGGCGGGTCCCGTGCGGAACCAGGGCGCAGTCGGTTCTTGATACCGTTGCCATTGCCGTTCCTGCTGACGGAAGGCGGTTGCACCTCGTCGACACCGACCTCGGCGGACACTTGAAAACGAACGTCCAGCAGGTCTCCGGATGCCTGGCGCAGGGCCCGCAGGATGGTCTGGTACATCCGCTGCTCCAGCCAGGCAATGGTGAAGGATGACGACGCTGGGCACCTGGACCAGCAGGTCCATTCCGTCGAAGGACAGACCTTCCGTTTCCTTCAGCCAGGTGTCAAAGGTCGTGCGGGGCAACTCCATTTCCAGTTGTCCCAGCGTAGCTGTCCAAGTGTCTTTAGCCGATTTGTCTGTCAAGGTGCTAACCCGGTGGTAAGAGTGGTCCAAAAAGGGGCAACGAGAAGGGTAACTGCCCGGCCTCGTGGGCGCAAGAAGGGCGCAAGGTGGCCTTGCTTGCCGAGGCCGCAAGTCAGCAGATAGCGGACAGGGCCAGCCCCAGTTGTTGCCGGGGCAATGTCGTATCTGTGCCGGCCAATTCGCTGCAATTGAGGCGGGAAAGAAATTCATGAAAACGGCAGAGAAAAAGCATACCGGAGGAGTCGATTCCCCGGCTGCCGGGACTAACCATGAGGTCTTAGGTCACCCTCCGGGAAGAGTTGGATGGTGGCGTACTTGCGTGGTGGTGACTTTGGAGCACAAGATATAGTATGGTTGGTTCTTGTAACACGATGTCTCGATTCTTTGGGTAACATAACATGAGGGTGCGTGGAGAGGAGAGGTGGAGAGGAAAGGTTGATCTTGCACTACAGAGTGAGGACGCTGGTCAGTGGGCTATTAGTAGGACTTCTGATTGCTGCCGCCCTGGGCTGCGGCAACGAGACGCCGAACGGGGCCGGCGCACCTATTCCAACACCGGCAAGTCCCGCTCCGACCAGCGTCGCAACCCCAGCAGTGCCCGCCATGGCTGTGGCTGAAGCAACACCCGGGGCCTCGCCGACGCCCGCACCAGCCCCCGTACCCGAAACTAAGATACCCGCAACTCCCACACCCGAAAAGGAGCCAACGCCTGTGCCTGAACCAACGCAACCCTCCGTATCCCAACCTGCTGTACCGCAAGCCTCCTTACCCGATGCAACCCCGCCCGTGGCCGGCCAGCGGCCCCACAGCTACACCCGCCACGGCACTACCATCGAGGATCCCTGGCAGTGGCTGCGGGACGCGGATTACCCCACCGTCGACGACGAGGACGTGCTGGCTTATCTGAAGGCGGAGAACGAGTATTTCGAAGCCCGGATGGCGCCCCCAGAAGGAACTGACCGACGCCATCTTCGAGGAGATAAAGGGCCGCCAGCAGCCGGACCTGGCCAGCGTCCCCTGGAAGGACGGCCAGTGGTATTACCAGTGGAAATTCGCCGAGGAGAGCCAGTACCGCATCTGGCTGCGCTGGCCCGCCCCGTCTTCCGATGAAACGCAACCCAACGCACGGGAAGCGCCCACCTCCGACGTGGAGATCCTGCTGGACGAACCGGTGCTGGCCGAAGGCCTGGAATACTTCCGCCTGGGTTCCCTTGCGGTGAGCAACGGTGGGTCGCTGCTGGCGTACGCCACCGACACCGACGGCTCCGAGCGGTACAGGCTGGTTATCAGGAACCTGGAGACCGGCGATCTGCTGCCCGAAGAAATACCGGGGACCATTGGCCGGGTGGTCTGGTCTGCCGACGACTCGTCCCTGCTGTACACGGTGGTAGACGATAACTGGCGGCCCTGGCAGGTGCGCCGCCACGTCCTGGGCCAGCCGGTGGATCAGGACACCATAGTCTATGAGGAAAGCGACCCCGGCTTCTTCGTGGGTATCGGGGAGTCCGCTTCAAAGGAATACATCATCATCGGCGCCGGCGACCACGTTACCTCCGAGGTGCGCCTGCTCCCCGCCGCCGACACCAGTGCCGACCCGCTGGTGGTGTCTCCCCCGCCGGGCCAACCACGAGTACTCCATTGACCACCAGGGCGACCGGTTCATCATCAAGACCAACGACACCCACAAGAACGCCCGGCTGGCCACCGCTCCCCAGGACGACCCCACCGAGCAGGCGTGGGAGCCCCTGGTGAACGCCTCGGACACTCACTACATCCGCGGCTTTGAGACTTTTCAGGACTTCATCGCTGTGGAAGTGCGCATTGACGGCCTGGACCACGTGCAGCTGATGTGGCGGGACGGCGAATCCAGGTACATAGAGTTCCCCGAGTCGGCGTACACCGCCGGGTTGGCCGCAACCGCGAGTTCCAGACCGGCACCCTGCGCCTGGACTACACCTCAATGGTGACGCCCAGCACCGTCTTTGACTATCACCTGGACACGCAGGAACTGGAAGTCAGGCAGGTGCAGGAGGTGCCCAGCGGTTATGATGCCTCCGAGTACGTTACGGAAAGGCTGCTGGCCCCGGCGCGGGACGGCGTTGAGGTGCCCGTGTCCATCGTCCGGCACAAGGATACCCCGGTGGACGGGTCGGCTCCCCTGTACCTGTACGGTTACGGCGCCTACGGGTATGCCATTCCACCGTCATTCTCCACCACGCGCCTGTCCCTGCTGGACCGTGGGTTCATCTACGCCCTGGCCCACATCCGCGGCGGAGACGACCTGGGGTACCACTGGTACGAGGCCGGCAAGCTGGACCGGCGCACCAACACGTTCAACGACTTCGTGGACGTGGCCCGCCACCTGGTTGACCAGGATTATGTTGCGGAGGGGCGCATCGCCATTGCGGGAGGCAGCGCCGGTGGGCAGTTGATGGGCGCGGTGGTAAACCAGGCGCCGGATTTGTGGGGAGCGGTGGCGGCTCACGTACCCTTTGTCGACGTGCTGAACACCATGCTGGACGATACCCTGCCCCTGACGCCCATCGAGTGGCCCGAGTGGGGCAATCCCATTGAGGACGAAACGGTATTCGAGTACATCCGCTCCTACTCTCCCTACGACCAGTTGATGGCGAAAGAATATCCACCGATACTGGTGACGGCGGGGCTGAACGACCCCCGGGTGACCTACTGGGAGCCTGCCAAGTACGTGGCCAAGCTGCGGGCCCTGAAAACCGACGATAACCTGGTGCTGCTGAAGACCAACATGGGCGCCGGACACGGGGGCAGGTCGGGCAGATACGACCGTCTCTACGAGGTGGCAGAGGAGTACGCCTTTATGCTGGTGGTGATGGGGTTGGTGGAGTAGGAGAACCGGATTATAAACCGGATTCGAAACCAGCTCCGGGGCGTTCCATATTCAACAAAAGCCCGGAAAATGCTTTGGGCCGGCACATACCCTGGGCAGGAGGACTGATTATGACTCCGAAGAAAGGAATTATCGAGACCGTTGCAGGAAATGGGTCTCAGGGGTGGGATGGGGACGGCGGGCCCGCGACGGAGGCTGCCTGCCAGGAACCCTACGCGTGTGAATTCGACCCCCAGGGGAACATGGTTGTGTGCATGGGCCGCCAACACCGAAATCCGTCGGGTGGACGCCCAGACTGGCATTATCACCCTGGTGGCCGGGACCGGAGAGGCGGGATACACCGGTGATGGCGGCCCCGCGCTTAACGCTGACATCAATCAACCGTACGGACTGGCAATAGACGTTAACGGCGATATGTACTTTTCGCAGCGATTTGACCCGGCGGTCAGGAAGATAGACGGCAGCACGGGCATCATCTCCACCGTGGCCGGAACCGGAGAATTCGGCTACAGCGGCGACGGCGGCCCCGGCAATGAAGCGATGCTTCGTGAACCCAACGACGTGTTCCTGGACAGGCGGGGCGGTCTGCTGATTGCAGACATACAGGACCAGCGAATCAGGCGAGTGGATTTGGAAACGGGAATAATAACCACTTTTGCCGGCACCGGGGAAAAGTCCCGCGCCGGAGACGGGACATCAGCCATCGAAGCGAGCCTGATGGGGCCCCGAGCGGTCTGCATGGACAGTTTGGGCAACACCTACGTTGCCGAGCGGGAAGGAAATGGGGTCCGCAAAATCTCCCCTGACGGGACCTTAACCACAATAGCCGGAGCCGATTCCGTGTTCGGTTATAGCGGTGACGGTGGGCCAGCGCTGGCGGCCAACTGGGGTGCGCCTAAGGCAATGCGGTGCGGCCTGAATGACAATATCATCGTGGTTGACACCGAGAATGATGCAGTCCGCCTGATTGACCATCGCACGGGGGTGGTGACAACCATTGCCGGAGGGCGCGCCGGCGGCGAGGGTGACGGTGGCCCGGCGGTTCAGGCAGGACTGGCCCGTCCGCATGGGTGCGGTGTTGGCGCGGCTGGCAACCTGTATATCGCGGACACTCACAATAACCGGGTACGCGCGGTGGGGATTTAGGGCCCACTGGAAAGTCCCTTACCACTCGGCGGTGGAAAGGTCAGGGTGGGAGTGCCGACGCTCATTGCCTTTCAGCCAAACGCGTTAGCAGGTCTTCCGATTCGGCACGGGCGAAGAGATCGGCCCATAGCCGTTCCGATTCCAGTTCGGCTATCGGGAAGCGGGCGAATTTGTCCTGTTCTTCTTCGGGGAGTTGGGCAGCTTTCTCGAAAGGTTCTCTGAGGAGTTGATTCATGGTTCCTCCAGAACATGCTGACTGCAACTCTCGGTGAATGAGGCACACTTTTCGCGGTATATCACGAACGGCCCGAAGTTCTTCGAGTAAGCAAGACTGGAGTCCATACCAGGCTTCCAGCCATGATTCCAGGTTCATCGACTTCGCTCAAGACGACACATTTGCAGGGCCGGATTTAAAGCGTCTGGCCTTCCCTACTCCCCTGGGCCGAATAGCTGGGGCAGGTCGGTTACTTCGGCGGCGCCACTGGAGGGGGCGGTAAGGGTGAGGGTCTGGCCCGGGTTGGCCCCGGCGGTTCGGACGTAACCCAGTCCCACCAGTTGGCCTGTGGAGGGGATGGTGGCCAGCGACGTTACCTTGCCGACGTTGCGGCCCTCCTGCTGTAGCCCTGCTCCTTCCTGCACCTCGGCTCCTTCTGAAAAGCGCAGCCGCACCAGGTAACGCTGCACCTTCTGGTAGGTGTCGAGGCGGGCGATTACTTCCTGGCCGATGTAGCAACCCTTGGCAAAGTCAACGGAGCCGATGAGGCCTGCCTCCAGCGGGTTGTAGTCATCGCCCAGTTCCCGTCCGTACCGGGGAACGGCGTGCTGCACGAGGGCGGCGTTGAATGCGTCCACTCCAACGGGGGTAATGCCAGAGTTTGCCAGGGCTTCCCACACCTTTGGGGCAACATCCGCCTCTACCAGCAGGTCAAATGCCGTCAAATCGCCGAGAGGCCGGCGGACTACCAGCACTTCGTGGCCCTCGATAGCGCTGGACAGGACGGAGTATGTCCCCATATCCGTGAGGTCGCTGCCGTCCTGCTCCGGTTGGAGCACCCTGGCCAGGGCTTCCCCGCTGGCAGGCCCGCAGACGGTGAACAGGGCGGTTGAGTCCGAAATGTCCTCCACCTCCAAGTCTTCCATAATGGTGTACTTGTCCAGCCAGTCGATAACCGTCTGCTGGCAGCCGGGGCTGGTGATGAGCAAGGTGTACTCCCCAGTGTTGATCACGCCCAGCAGGTCGAGGATGCGGCCCCGGTCGGTGGTCAGGATGGTGGGCGCGCCCTGTCCCGGGGCCAGGTTGATGATGCCGTTGGTGGAGAGGCGGTTCAGCAGGTCCAGGGTATCATCGCCGGTGGCCTTCAGCCGTCCGGTGTAGGAACTGTCGTGCAGTCCGGCGGCCTCGGTGATTGCCTGGTACTCGGCGGAAACGTCGGTATAGACGGGGGTGAGGGTTGGTGTGGACATGGGGCTAACCTCCGGAGGAATGCTGAGTAGTATCTATAATAGCGCAAACTTTGGGGTGGTGGTTAAGGGGATTCACAACGGGGGCAGGGTACTGTCACTCCAGCGGGGCGATTCTGGCAGGTGACTCCAGATTGCGGGATCGCTCCCAGCATTCCTGCAATTCAACCTGGTGGAGCGAGGCCCATTCCATTACGAGCCGTAAAGCGCGAGAGGGAAGGTAACCTCGCAGCAATGCTAACCTGTCGACCCCTACTAACGCTTCATGTTCGCCATATCCAGCGTGGAAGTGCGGCGGCGCGTGGTCGTTGGCATACATCCGTTTGACAATGCCGTAAAATCGGCAGATTTCAGGCATTGTGGGCTGGAGCATCTACGGCGTCGGGCAATTCCTCCAAAGTCTTGCCGGTTAATTCCATATAGATGGCATCAGGACACAGCTCGATCTCTTCATCCCATGCTATGGAGCGATGCTGAGCAATAAACACCTTCTTGAAATTCTCCGGTTCTTGCCAGGCTTCAAACATGCCTCGACCCACCAGATGGGACAGATCAACCTCCCCTGAGACTCCATCCGAGTACCGGAGCCAGAGCCGGTATCCATCCCGGGCTTCAACTTCAACAGGTCGAATCATTACTGGCCCTCCAGAGGTAATCGTCGTGACCATTCTACCTTAAACTGACGCGCCGTACTGCCCTGCGCCCTGGCCTGCGACGGCGCAGGCTCATTGACCCCCGAGAGAATGCTTGATGCCCAAGAGCAGGGGCAGCCACAAGGGCTGCCCCTACATTGCCGTCTTTGGCTGTCCCGAAACTAGGGCAGGGGCGCCGCTGCGGAGTACAACGCTTGCTCGATGGCCTGGCGCACGGGGCGCAGGTAGGGGCGGGAGGTGCGCATCTTTTCCAGCAGGTCTTTCAGGGGCACCCACTGGCACTGGTCGATGCCTTCCCTAAGGTCGGGTTGCAGGGGATCAGCCAGGTTGCCTTCGTAGTCCAGTAGGAACCACTGCACTGACTTGTTGACGGGGCCGATCCGGTAATAGGAAATGTAGGTGGTCTGGCAGAGGGGAGAGCGGATAGTTAAGGAGGAGGGATTCAGGCCGGTCTCTTCGGAGATTTCCCGAAGAGCGCATATTTCGTTGGGTTCGCCGGGGTAGTCCAGTTTGCCCTTGGGCAGGTCCAGGAGCCGGTGCTTGCGAATAACCAGGGCGCTGCCGCCGCAGAGGACCAGGCCTCCGGCGGCGAACATTTGGGGCAGCTCATCTCTATTCATGTATCAGTATTCGCTCCAGAATTCCTACTTGATCGCGATTTAGCCCAGTAAACAACACGCCGTCCACAATCATGTCGGTCAGCATATCCATGTCAGGGGCCTGGTAAATGACCTCGGGCCTGAGGTCCTTTCCTTCGAATTCAAAGCGGGTCAGGATGTAGTGGATGGCGTTCAGCCTGGCCTGCTGCTTGTTGTCCGACTCAATGATTATCCAGGGGGCATAGTCGGTGGAGGTTACAGCGAACATTCGCTCCTTGAAGTAGGTTAGCAACTGCCACCGTTCGGCCACCTTGCGGTCGTTGGCCGAATACTTCCAGTACTGGAGGTCGCTGTCCTGCCGAATCCGGAACCGCAGGTCCTGGGACTCGCGGGAGACGGACAGGTATAACTTTATGAAGGTAACTCCCTCGTCCACCAGTTCACGTTCCCAGTCGTTGACCTTGCTCAAAAAGTAGTGGTACTGGCGCATGGTGCAGTAACCCATGGCTGGCTGAATCAGCGCGCGGGAATACCATGACCGGTCGTACACGAGCATTTCCCCGGGCTCGGGCATCAGCTTGTAGTGGTGGCCCAACCAGTTGCGCATTTCCTGGGCCGTAGGTATGCCCTGGCTGATGATTCCTGAGTAACTGGGGTTCAGGTAATGGGTGATGGCGGAAGCGATGCTGCCCTTGCCGGCGGCGTCGCGGCCTTCCAGCACTATGGCAACCCGATGACCGTTGGCAACTACCCACTCCTGCAAGGCCAGCAGTTGGCGCCGCAGGACGCGCAACTCGGTGCGGTATGCCAGGTATTCAATGCCGCGAAAGGCGGGAACGTCGTGCCTGGTTGCCGAAGTTTCCGGCAGAATTCTGTTATTTTCCAGTTTCAGGTCGAAAGCAACCATCAGAAAAATAACCGTCCGACAGGCTTCTGGCGGGACTTGCCTCTCCCTCTATACACCTTATCGTATGAAATAAAAAGTGGGCCTGTCAATCGGAATAATAACAATCGAATATTAATAGGTGATTAAACGGGGGAGAAAGCCAATTTAACCAGTAGGACATGCCGTCTACAATCAGGACGGTCAGGTGAAGGGACGTCAGCTTTGAAAGGGACGTCAGCAACCCCATCCTGACCTTCCCCGTCGAGGTGGAAGGGAAATTTACAGAGGGTCCCTTAAGCCCGAAGTCCCAGGGCGGTAGAATCGCCGCCAACACTAGCGTTGGGTATAATGCGGCGGTCCCCAACGTTTACAGATGAGGAGGAAGGTCGTGAAAACCATTGAGCTGGATTACTCCAAACAGTGCGGCGACGAGCCCGACAAGGGGCACAACCGCTGGCATCCTGACATTCCGCCGGCGGTGACCGCCGACCCCGGGGAAGAAGTGGTGATGCAGACCCGCAACGCCTTCGATATGCAGATCACGCCTTCCACTCAAGCCCCCGACCTGCTGACCGCCGACCTGAACCTGGTCCATCCCCTGACCGGACCGGTGTACGTCAACGGCGCCGAGCCTGGCGACCTGCTGCAAATCAATATCCTGAACATTGAGCCCGCCGGTTGGGGCTTCACCACCATCCTGCCCGGCTTCGGGTTCCTGCGGGACGTCTATACAGAGCCCTACATCGTCCACTGGGAGATGCGGGACGGCTACGCCCAATCGGAGCAACTGCCCGGGGTGCGAGTGCCCGAAGCGTCCTTCATGGGGACCATCGGTGTTGCCCCGTCCAGGGCATTGCGCCAGGAAATACTGCTGCGGGAGGACGAACTGCTGCGTCGGGGTGGAATGGTTGTGGGACCGACGCCGGCCGGCGCTGTCCCTGCCGACGAACCCTTTGCCACCGAGGGGCTGCGCACCATACCGCCCCGGGAGAACGGCGGCAACGTGGATATCAAGCAGTTGACGGGAGGTACGCGCCTCTATCTGCCCGTCTTTGCCGAGGGGGCGCTTTTCTCGGCCGGCGACGCCCACTACGCCCAGGGTGATTCCGAGTGCTGCGGCACGGCCATCGAAATGGACTGCACCTTGCACGTGAGCTTCCAGGTGAGAAAGGGCGAGGCCGCCGGCCGGGGCATCAACTTCCCCTATTTTGAGAGAGACGATTATTTCACCGCCCCGGAGATGGCCGCGCCCCGCCGTTTCCTGGCTTCCACCGGGATGTGCATCGCCGGCGGGACCAACGAGTCGGAGCATGCGACCCTGGCCTCTCGCCAGGCCCTGCTGAACATGATTCACCTGCTGATGGAGCGGGGCTGGAGTCGGGAGCAGGCCTACTGCATCTGCAGCGTGGCGGTGGACCTGAAGGTCAGCGAGGTGGTGGACGTTCCCAACTTCGTGGTATCGGCATTTTTGCCGCTGGACATTTTTGTGGGGTAGGTGGGGGAACCCCAAGATCGAGATCTAAAGAGGCTGCACAATCACTGACAAGGCTGCAACTGCGGCGCAGATGTACTTTTCTTACGCGGCAAGGCTAGCGGCAGCCTCGATTTCCATTAGATCCTTGGTAAAGTCAAAGCTAAGCTGTATTTGATCGGAGGAATTGTAATTCTGATTGTAGCTATCCATGTCTTGCTTGAGTTGGTTGCAGTCTCCAACTATCTGTTGTCTTCGCTGCTGTAAGGCGACGAGCATATGCTTAGGGGGAGCGTTACGAATATCTGCCCACAATACTAATTGCTCTCCGCCCTGATTTGTTCTGGCAGCATGTTTTGCTCTTACTGCTCGTCCTTGGGGGTCTGTAATGTATTCCTCGCGCATCGCTCTTGCTAATTGCTCTGCGCATTGGCCGATCAAGTCAGACTGTTGGGGAGCCCAAAGGAGATTGCGAACTGCCCAAGCAGCTATTTCCCTTCGAGTCGCAGGCCACTCTTCCCCCGAATCCATATATTGGTTGACGATGCCCTGTAACTGCTCCGTGTATGTCTTTACCACTGACCCCTCTCAATTCACATTTAGGTGTAGGCGGGATGCATGCTTCCAAATCCATCGGTCAATGCTGATGAGGTAATTATGTGTCTAACCTTTACCAGGAGTTCACGATTTTTTGCATAGCTGACCCCGTGGCTATGCTGAAGCTGACCTAACACAATGCCTGGGTGAATGTTCATCAAAGCTGCAAAACCTATCAAGTGTTTCTTTGGAAACGTGGGGCTTACTCTGAGGGCGAAGTCCTCCAATTCTTCCTGCGGGACTAATGCTTGAACGGCAAACTGATCCGCCATAACCTCGTGTGGAGGCCTCTCACTTTGCTTTTCGCTATCAGCGAACAAGTTTATGTCGAATGAGGTATAAGAATTGGACAGACCGTCGGTGTTTCTTACGTGCCCCAGTTCGTGCATGAGGGTGTGCCAGAAATAATCGATACGATCAAACCTCATTGATAGAGCAACCACTGGAGAGTGGTGGTCGAGCCAGAAGCACACACCGTCGATCTTGCTTCCCGGCATAGCTTCTACAATAAGCAAGCGAATTCCCCTTTCTTCTAGTATTCGAGGTACGTGCCGAGTTTCGTCCGGTGTGCTCCAGAAGTTTCGTAGTTCTTCGACGAGATCTTCGAAACATGAGGGGTTATATTCCTCAGGTTGCAGCAGTTTGGCCAGATGCTTCACACGAAATAACCATGCTAACTGTGATGGAGTTACCGATTCATAAGGGGTCGCTTTTCTTGCGGCGTGCGCGAAAAACAGAGGCTCTTCCTCCAGCGACTCGATCTCTAAGAAATCCAAGACATTGCGTTCTAGTACAGAAGTGTTTGGCGATCCCTCTATCCAGTTCCGCTTAACCATCTCCTTTATAGGGGCTTTCCCGTATAATTTTGCTCGGTGGCTTACGTTGTCGCTGGTTCTACGGACCCTGGCCAACTGGTAGGAGGCCTCCAAGTACATCCAGTACTCAGCGCTAGTGCCGAACGCGTCAGCCAAACCTAACGCCGTCTCTGGCGTGATTCCACGCCGTCCATTGACAATCTCGCTTACGAGACGGTTGGGGCGGCCCAATATGTCTGCCAGATCAGTTTGTGTCCATCCCCGCTCTTCTAATTCCTCCTTAAGAAAATCCCCAGGGGGAAACACTTCTGCCGGAGTCTTTCTATCCGTCATACTTGCCTACCTGTCGGTGTCAGTTTCAGTGGTAATCGTCTATCTCCAATATCCTGCACACCTTGTTTTGCCCCCTCCCATAGAATGTTAGAATGAGACGATATTGATCATTGAGCCTCATCGAGTGTTGGTCTGCACGTCTGCCTTGTAACTTCTCGAAATGCAGCGATCTCAGAGCGTAGAAGTCTCTCTCGTCTGGAGCCGCCCGGATTTGTTGCATTCGTCGTCTGAAGGCCTTAACAATGGATTGAGAAAACCCTCCTGTGAAACTTGGGTCTAATTCCAATCTGGCTAGGCTTTCGTCATCAAATGAGACTTCCATGTACCTCAAGGTTAGCTAGCAATTATGAAAGTGTCAATACCGAGTTTTACACTTAGTGTAAAAACATGATATTGGGCTTATGGCACTTGGAAGAAGCAATGGAAAGTCGAGAATTGAAAATGCCCCATTGACTGTCCTCAACTGTTAAACGTACAATGGCAACAGGACTAAAGAAGACAACTTGCTTCCCTACGGGAGGGCTTTATATGGCTATAACCATGGATGGGGTGGAACTTGGTGTACAGATCACCGCGAAGGCCGCCGAGAAGATCAAGTACTTTGCCGAGAAAGAAGGTATCGCCGAGGGTGTGGGTCTGCGTGTCGCCGTCAAGGGCGGCGGTTGTTCCGGCCTGACCTACGACCTGAAGATTACCGACCAGGAACTGGAAACCGACAAGATTGTCGAGCAGTACGGGGTCAAGGTGATGGTGGACAAGAAGAGCTACATCTACCTGGTTGGCACCGAGCTGGACTTCTCCGACGGTCTCAACGGCAAGGGTTTCATTTTCGAAAACCCCAACGCCAAGAAGGCCTGCGGCTGCGGGACTTCCTTCAGCGTCTAACGTCTAATAGCGGCGCCTATTTGCCCGGCAACCCTGGCTGGGGCTGGCGGACTCGCTGGCCGTGGTACGGATAACCAGCGAGAACGAGCGTCGAATCCCTAGTTACACCCTTCACACTGTAGTTGCGGGCCAGACCAATCTGATTGGCCTGGCCCTTCCTCTTCTTAACCCCCAGGGTTCCCGTTATTTCTTTTCGTGGGTCGCTCTTACAACGGACCAGACCGGCTTTCTTCAATCCGTTCGAGTCGCTCAGCTCGAGCCTGTCACATGACATTCCAGTAGCAGGGCGAGATATTCTCGCAGCTCCCTCGGAGAGAAGGGTTGGAGCTGAGGGCCCTAATCCTCGTATGGTAAACTCTCCTCAATACCCCCTGCCCCTGGATTTCCACTCAGCTAAGGAGCGGATGCTATGACCAGCACGAGCAAAGACCCGGTCCTGGTGGTCCTTCAGCTTACCGGTGGCAACGACTACATGAATACCGTCGTGCCCTACGGCGACCCTCTCTACTACGACTACCGGCCCACGGTGAACGTCTCGCCGGAGCGGGTATTGCCCCTGGACGACAAGGTGGGGTTCAATCCGGTCCTGGCTCCCATAAAGGGGTTGTATGACCGGGGTGACGTGGCGGTGGTGCACGGGGTGGGATACGCCAATCCCAACCGCTCTCACTTTCGTTCAATGGATATCTGGCATACCTGCGAGCCGGACAAGATAGGCACCGAGGGCTGGCTGGGCAAGGTTATCCGCGACCTGGACCCCCATGCTGATAACGTGCTGACCGGGGTGAATTTTGGCCGTGGCATGCCCCGGGCCATGGCCCTGCCGGGGGTTCCGGTGGCGTCGGTGGCGGTGCTGGAAAACTACGGGCTGCTGACCGTCATTCCCCAGGAGGAGGCCCGCGCGCGCGCCCTGGAAGTCTTTGCCCGCATGTACACTCCCGCTATGGGCACCGGCCCCACCATGGACTACCTGGGCCAGACGGGCCTGGACGCGCTGAAGGGGGCCGACATTCTCCGCACGGCGCCGGAGAAGTACGAATCAACGGTGGAGTACGGCGACAACGCCATCGCCCGCAACCTGCGGGCTGTATCCCAGGTGCTGCTGGCCGACCTGGGGACGCGGGTCTTTTACACCCAGCACGGCGGATACGACACCCACGCCGCCGAGGTAGCTGTGCATACCCAGCTTTGGACCGAACTGTCCGACGCCATATCCTGCTTCTTTGCCGACCTGCGGGAGCACAACGCGGAGGACAAAGTGGTAATGCTGGTGTTCACCGAGTTCGGCCGCCGGGTCAAGGACAATGGCTCCGGCACCGATCACGGTTCCGGCGGCCTGTCCATGGTCATGGGCGCTCCGGTGAAGGGTGGCCAGTACAACGAATACCCGTCCCTAAGGGAAGGTGACCTGCTGGAGGGCGACCTGCACTTCAGCTACGACTACCGCGGCCTCTACGGCACCCTGGTGGAACGCTGGCTGGGGTTGGATGCAGGGCCGGTGGTTGGTGGCAGGTTTGAGCAGGTTGGGGTGGTGTAGGGGGAAGAATAATAGCAATAATTCTTGGATGTTGGCTAAGTGGTGGAATAGTATTTGGAGTGAATCCGGATCAGTGAAGGATTTATTGCAGGTATGGTAATCAACAATGTATCTGAAGTAACGCGTCGCTTTATCATAGATTCCTTGTCGGTGGGAAGAAGCGATTGGTCAGGGCGCCTTAGCGAGGACGAATTTCTAGAAAGACTGTATGACCTTTCCAATACGCCTTCCACTGACTCGCGGATGCGGAATGCAAAAAGCGATATCATCCAGCATCGGGTAAATTGGAATGACTGGGATGACGACTGGGTCTTTTACGACCCACGGTTCAATATCCTACGCAGCTCCGACGAAGATTTCCTGAAATTTCTTTGTGAGACAGTTCATCCAGTTGTTAGACCAGACGCGGAGGAAGCCCATGCACTCGTTTCAGAATACAATGGATATCTCGCCTCTGATGGTTACGAGCTTGTAGCGGTTCGGCATATTTCTGGAAAGCCAGTTTTCGGAGCACAATATTCGGGACAGCGAGCGCAGGTCTTCAGTGAGCCTACTGGCTGGGACAAAGTTGACCGCCAAATTAGTAACGCTAAGGATCAATTGCAAACGGCTGCTACTGAAGAACATTTCCAAGTCGTTGGTCTCCTTTGCAGAGAGGTGTTGATCACCGTATCTCAGGAGGTTTATGAGCCCACGAGACACCGTACAAGAGATGGCGTGTTACCTAGCAGCACCGACGTGGGAAGAATGCTCGAAGCTTTCTTTGACTCTGAACTTTCAGGTGCATCGAATGAAGAGTGTAGAGCGTACGGCAAAGCTGCTTTTCGTCTGGCACTTGCGTTGCAACATAAGCGAAGTGCGGACTTCCGAATGGCTGCCTTTTGCCTAGAAGCAACGATGTCGGCAGTCAATATTCTAGCTTTGCTTGGTAATCGACGGGGCGAAATGGCATAGCAAAGTGTATTTATAGAGGAGTAGCACCTCAGTCAAAGAAGATGAAGAAGATCTCCCAGTTTGTCGCCAGAATTGCTAGCAAGCAGGTAGTAACTAGTCTCAGCGTGTTCGTGGCTATATTGTAGTTTTGGCGGCGGTATCCGGACGGTAAGGCGAACAGTGCAACGAGTAAGAGGGCATCCTTGATTTACGGATGCCCTCTATCGTTGCTACCCATGACCAAATCTCCAGGCCTACTTACTGCGAGGCTTGCCGGCGTCGGAACGCTTCTTGCGCCACTGGCCATTGTTATTCCGAGCCCTTGGCTGGGCGCCGCCTTTGCTGGGGACGTGGGGCACTTTTCCAGCTCTTCTATCAGCCATTTTTTCACCTCCTCTACCGTTAGCAGGATTAAGTCAAGCAAATACGTACCCCTATATCCATAATAATACAGCTATGTGATTATGTCAAATAGATTTCTTGGTTAGGCTCGAACAGTCAGGGCCTGCACACTGCCAACAGAAGGATGAAGTGTCCCTTTTATAATGAAGGAGGTGACCGTGCTCTTGCCTATTTCGAACAGAGTAAACCTCCCCAGCCACCTGCCCCAACCTGGCGGATGCAGTGGGGCAAGGCAATTAGCCCAGCTGTTTCCTCATGCGCACTGTTGATGTGGTAGCCGACGTCCCCGACCCGCAGCCCACTTCTTGCGCCCCTCCATTGTTCCGCCATGCCTACCCAGCAAGGGCAATGTAGATTATCCGCATTCATCTCTATCCCACCTTCAGACCAATCTCCTGTCTTCCACCTCCGTGCGCGAGCGTGAAGCCGACGCCAACGACTCCGTAAGCCTGGCCTGAGGGGTTGTGGTCGTCGCTGACGGTGGGTGCCAGGCCTGGGCGGGATCGGTGTGCCCGATAACGTTAATGAGTCCACTCTTTCTGCGTAGGAAATTAATGCGGAATAGAGCAATGTATTCTTAAATCGTAACTATGTATGTTGACACTTACGGTTCAGAGGCATATATTCCTATAATTAAGTCCTGGAATATTTATTATTTTACTGCCAAATTACTCTAATCCGAACTAAAACAGGAGGTGCATTGCCTAGAGGATATTTCATTACTAATCGAGTCCCATCATGGATGCCTGTGCCTTTATCAAGAAAGTCTAGACTGGGAGGATGAAATAATGTCCTACCAATGGCTGATACAAAGACTAAAGGAACCCAGGGGACTACTATATGGGCCGATGCTGGTTGTACTGGCCTTAGCCACTGTAGCGTGCGGCGCCGCCGCTACGGCAACGCCTGCGCCCGCGCCGGACCCGATCGAAGCGCCCGCGGCGATGGCCGACTCGACCGAAGCGCCCGCGGCAATGGCCGAACCGACCGCAGTGCCGGAGGCGATTGCAAAGCCGGCCGAAGAAATGATGGCCAAGCCCGAAGTCGGGGAGATGGCTTTTGCCGATTACTGGAATCCCCCAACGGACTTCTACGGCCCAGTCGTTTACGGCGGTACACTCCGCGTAAATTACGAAGACCCCCTTGAACACGCAAACGATTGGGGTGCAGCTACCGGCGCTTCTTCCAGATACCGCGGTTCCACCGGTGCGGTGTTGGTGATGGAGAACCCCTACGATGCCGGCGCGCCGGTGATTCCCGATCTTGCCCAGAACTGGGATGTCCACGAAGGGCTGGACGGCGTAACCTTCCACTTCCGGGAGGGTACAGCCTGGCACAATGGGGAGCCATTCGTTTGCGAAGACGCCCGGTTCTCTTTTGAGACAATGATCACCGGAAACGGCCTTACCGCCAGTTATATGAAGAGCCGCCTGGCCCACGTGGTACTGGAGGAAATGGCCTGCATTGACGATATGACCCTGAAGATGAACTTCAACGGCCCCACCGGAATCCCCTTGCTCAATATATCTAATCGCCGGGGCATCGTCTTCAACAAAGCCTGGTTCCAGGCCGGCGGCGAAGATGCGATGTTCCAGGATGTGACCATGGGCATCGGTCCTTATAAGTGGGCCGAAGGGCAGTCGGTGGGTGTTGACGAACAGCACTTTGAAAAGAACCCCGACTACTTCATCCCGGAACTGCCTTACGTGGACGAGTTGGTTATCTTCGGCATCCTGGACGAGTCCGCGCAACAGGCCACCCAGTTGGCGCACCAGACCGACTGGCACTGGGTGCGCAACTGGGGCCAGTACCAAGCCTACGTGGACCACGACCAGATTATCACCGTCATTCGGGCCACGCGGGGTAACTTCCGCCTGTGGATTAATGCCCGCAATGAGCCCTTTGACAACGTAAAGGTCCGCCAGGCCATCATAATGAGTATTGACCGTGACGCGGGCATCCGGATTCTCCAAGACGGCCACGGCGCCTCCGGAGGGTTCGGTTACGCCCCGGGCAGCCCCTGGGAACTACCCCAGGAGCAGCTCTGCTCGGTGCCCGGCTGGTGTATATCCGAGGACATGGAGGCAACTCGGGCCGAAGCCAAGGCTATCCTGGATGCGGAAGGCTTTGACTTTGAAAGGAGGTACGTGTTCACCGTAGAGTCCGACGCGCAGGTAACGGCTCGCGCTACCTTCCTGCAGGAACAGTTTCGGCTACTTGGCATAGAGACCGATTTCGACTCGGTGGAGACCATTGCCTATCGGGAGCAGGAGCAATCCGGAACGTGGGGCGACTTCAAACCTGGCAACAGTACCGTTGTTGCCGATGACCCGAACGCCGGTGTTGCTGCCTTCCTGCGCTGTGACTCCACAGGCAACCACTGGACCCCCAACGGGCCATGCGACGACAGTATTGTGGCCGTGCTGGACCAGGCTCAGGTCGCGTTGGACGTCGACAAGCGGCAGGTTTTGGCTCACCAGATTGAACTGGCTGCGATGAAGCAGTACAGTTCCTTCCCGGTTTACTGGGAGCAGGAAGCGGCAGCCTTCTGGCCTGAGGTAAGGGGCTATGCCCACTTCCCGGCGCCTTTTGGCTCCTATCGCAAGTTCATGCACATGTGGATCGACCCGGACCGCATGAACGACACTGGCAACGCCGGTCAGACCACGGGCGTGCCTGGGGGGAGTTAGTTTCCCCAGGTTTGGCTGGATACGGCTGAACTCGGAATAGAGACCAACCATTGAATTTGGGCCACTCACCGGCGCTGGTGGGTGGCCCATCTTTTTGCACGAATTAAGAGGACTTCTTAATCGCGGGAACTTCGAAATTTGTTCTCGAGACAGTCATTTGATGCTCATTGAGAGGTTGTGAGGATGGAAGAGCACCTCTTTGTATCATACAGACGTCTTTTTTACCCCCCGTAAACCGTCTCTCCACCAACAATGGTCTGCATCACCGGAATGTCCTTTATGGTCAACGGATCAACCTGCGTTGGGTCTTCTCCCGGCACCACCAGGTAACCATCAAGGCTCTGTGCCAAATATCCCATAGGCCCATTGCATGGGACTTGCCATAGTAGTACCGTATCCAACCATTGGGACTTCAGGGGTGGGCCCGCACCGGGCGCCGGTGGCAGGCTTGAAGAAGTGGCCTGGTCAGGGCTGTGGTCTCCCTCCTTGTAATTCGCATCCCCTGAAATCGAGGCGTGATTTCCGTTTATCACTTACACTTGTTGCCTGAAAACACTTTGGATGCTGTCTTTCGTTGAACGATAGAAGAACGTCTTGGATATCCGCTTTCAATCGCGCTTTATTCCGGTTGCTGCTGGGTTCCCGTCTGCCCGTTACCAGCGGCGCGCTGGAGATAGAAGGTCCCCGCGGGCCGATTGCGTTGCGCCGCGATCGCCACGGCATACCAATGATCGAAGCCGAGGACGAACTCGACGTTTTCTTTGGTTTCGGCTTTTGCCAGGGCCAGGACCGGACGTTGCAGATTGAGCTGTCGAAGCGCGCGGCTTCCGGAACGCTGTCGGAGTTGTTCGGACGGAGGACGTTGCCAGTGGACCGCCTTTTCCGTCGCGCTGGGCTGCGCCACGCCGCAGAGGAGCAGTTCCAGGTCTTGGCTCCCCGCGTCGCTTCCATAATCACCGCCTTTGCTTCGGGCGTGAACGCTGGCTCGACTGTCGGGCTGCGCCGCCGGCAACGCCCGGTCGAGTTTGTTCTGCTTCGCGCCCGACCCACCGAGTTCACCGCTCTCGACGTGCTCACCATTCTAAAGCTTCAGTCGTTCTTGATGCCGTCCAACTGGGACTGTGAACTTGCCAGGTTGATGGTATTGAACCTGGACGGCCCCGATGCGCTCCTCGACCTTGACCCTGGATATCCGGAGTGGCACCGGGTCGCCGTACCTCCTTCCGGCCTTGCCAGCGACGTCGGCAAGGCCGCCGAACGCCTCGCCGAAGACCTGGCGCTGTTCCAGGAGACAATGCTGTTCCCGGAAACAACAGAAACAGGCCCCGGCCCAAACACCGGTCCAAACATAGAACCAGACGGCGGTCCAACCATGGAACCAAACATCGGACCGGGCGGCGGTTCAAACAGTTGGGCAGTGTCAGGCGGCAGAACCCGATCCGGACGTCCCTTGCTGGCCAACGACCCCCACCTCGCGGCCACCGCCCCGCCGCACTGGTACCTGGCGCGCCTGAAAGCCCGTAGCTCGAAATCGATTAAATCGAAATCGAAATCGCCGGGCTGGACTGTCGCCGGCGCTGCTCTGCCGGGAACGCCGGCCATAGTGGTGGGCCATAACGGGAACTGCGCCTGGGGTGTGACCGCCGGGCTTACCGACAACACCGACCTGTTCCTGGAGCGGGTTGGGACCGACGGTCGGTCAGTTCTTCAGGATGGCGAGTTCGTCCAGTGCCAGGTCCGCCGGGAGGTGATCCGGGTGAGGGGTGCAGACCCCATAGAAGAGGAAGTCCTCGTGACTCCCCGTGGGCCGATAATCAGTCCCGCCCTGCCCAGTCCCGAGCCGGGAATAGTAGAGCTTGGCGCCGTCTCGATGCGGGCGGTCTGGCTGGACCCGCTTCCAGTGGCGGGATTCCTGGGTGCCCTGGAGGCAAGTACAGTCGAAGAGTTTTGTGCCCCGTTCGCAGACTGGTCCATTCTTCCTCTCGGCCTGGTCTGTGCCGACACCCAGGGGAACGTCGGCTACCAGTTGGTCGGGCAGTCGCCGCGCCGCCGCCGTGGCTGCGGGATCGTGCCAGGTGCCGGATGGGCCCCAGGCGCGGGCTGGGAAGAGGAGGGTGTTCCCTTCGGCGACATGCCCCGCACCCTAAATCCCTCCTGCGGCTACGTTGCCGCCGCCAACACCCAGCCCGAACCGCCAGGCTCCGGCCCTTTCCTGGGTATCGACTGGATCGACGGTTACCGTCTCGGCAGGATAGCGGAGGCTCTGGAAGAGCGGTGGGACTGGGACTTTGATTCGACCGCGGCGCTCCAGTTGGATGTGAAGTCGCTGCCGTGGGAGGAGATGAGGGAGTTTGTTCTGGCCGGGACGCCGGTTAGCGCCGAGACCCGGGCGGCGCGCGAGCTTCTTGAGACCTGGGACGGCCGCATGGCCTCCGACTCTGCCGGCGCAACCCTGTTCCACCTCTTCCTGGCCGAAATGTCTGGCCGAGTTGCCCGGGCGAGGGCGCCCCGTTCCGCGTCCTGGCTGTTGGGCCGCAACCTGCTCCCGGTCAGTGGGAGCACTTCCTTCGCCGCCCGTCAGGTGGGGCGCGTATCCCGCCTGATCCGGGAGCGGCCTCCCGGCTGGTTCGGGTCAAGTTCGTCCGGGGACGGATGGCAGGCGGAGATCGACGATGCGCTGCGTTCAGCCTACTCGGATGCGGTTCGCCGGCTGGGTGAACCCACGGCCCGCTGGAACTGGGGTCGCGCCCGCACTGCCATGCTGCGGCACCCGCTGGGTCGGATTCCCCTGCTGGGTTCAATCCTCAATCTTGGCCCCTTCCAGTGCCCAGGTGACGCCAACACGGTCTTTCAGGCTGGCACCTATGGCGACGACCCGCTGGCTGGCCCCGGGATTGTCCCATCTATGCGTATGGTGCTGGACGTTGGCGATTGGGACCGGTCGCTGTTCTCGCTGCCCGGCGGACAATCGGGCAACCCCCTCTCGCCCCACTACAAAGACCTCCTGCCCGCGTGGCTGAAGGGCGCCGGCGTAGCGATTGCGTGGACCGACGAAGCTGTTGAGGCGGCAACCGTGGAAACCCTTCTGCTGAAACCGGCCAGCAAGGGCCCGCATACGTAGCGGCAGGGTGCAGGATCATGTTCCATAAGCAGGACTCCATCTGACACCCTGGGGTCATTGCGCTTAAATGTCCCACCATACCAGGCGCTCCGGGCAACATCAGGTACGCGGGCCCTGAAATCCTCCCCCCTCCCCCGCAACTTTATGGTAAGATAACCCAGCTTTAATTTTGACATTCAGGAGGCACCCACCATGCCAGCAGAGGTTGGACAGCCCGCCCCCGACTTTTCCCTTTACGACACCGACCGCAACGTCCGCACCCTTCAGGAGTTCCGCGGCAAAACCGTCGTCCTCGCCTTCTTCCCCGGCGCCTTCACCGGCGTCTGCACCACCGAGGCCTGCACCCTCCGCGACTCCATCTCCGAATTCGACGGCATGAACGCCCAGGTCCTCGGCATCACCGTCGACGGCCCCTTCGCCCAGAAGGAGTGGTCCACCCAGAACAGCGTCAACTACCCCTTCCTCTCCGACTTCAACCGCCAGGCCGTCAACGCCTACGACGTCGCCCTCCCCGGCCTCGCCGGCATGGAAGGCTACGTCGCTGCCAACCGCGCCGTCATCGTCGTCGACCCCCAGGGCACCGTCCAGTACCGCTGGACCGCCCCCGCCCCCGTCAACGAACCCGACTACGCCGAGGTAAAAGCGGCAGTCCAGTCCTGCGCGTAGTCCCGCAGACAACCGTAGGGGCGGTTCGCGAACCGCCCCTACCCCCGCCAACCCCCTCACCCCCCCGCAAAAATCCCTTCCCCCACCCCCCCGTCATTCCGGCGAAGGCCGGATTCCAGGGTGCCCCGAACAAATCCCTTCCCCCTCGACGGGGGAAAGTCAGGATGGGGGTGCCACCGCTCATTTCATAATTGGCGCCTCCAATCACCTTACCGTCATTCCCCCACCCCCCCGTCATTCCCCCGCAACCGTCATTCCCCCACGCCCCCGTCATTCCGGCGAAGGCCGGAATCTGGAGCCCGTCGAACCACGAAGCGCCCGCCGCCAAAACCCAATTCGTAATTCCCCATTCTTAATTCGTAATTGACTCCGGACGGGTAACACTGGCGTAATACAGGGGTAGTAGCATTATGCGTACCCTATATTAAAGGAAAGGTTTATTTGGTAAAAATATTAACCCCAATTATTGGCTTGGCCGTGGTGGTGGCCCTGGCCATGGTTGCCGTCTTCGGCGCTATGAGCCTGACGCCGAACCCGGCGTTTGCCGCCGACCCGCCGGTCTAGATGCGGCAGGAGGCCCTAACCGAGTAGTATTGACTTGGACGTACACAGCAGACACTAATGTGACTGTGGCCGGTTGGGATATGCGGAGCAAAGAACCTGATGGCGGCTATGGTAATTTCGCGCCGATGACTACCTCAGGTACTAATGGTGCACTCAGAACTGAGACCATTTCGGGCCTGGAAAATGGTATCGCCTACACATTCCAAATCAGGCCTAA